GAGGAGTGCTAGGAGGCTTGTGAAAGCTGCCTTGCAGGAAGCCGCTAAAAAGAGAGAAATGAGATACTCAGATTTGAAGAAGATTGACCGAGGTGTTCGGCGGCATTTCCACGATGACATCACAGTTGTAGTTTTATTTCTTGATTCAAATCTTGTGAGCAAAGCCAGCTCAGCAAAAAGCGCTTCATTATCCCTGAGAGGGGGTGGAGTTAACCTGCCTGCAAAAACTTTGGCTCCCTGTGCCGCTGCAATGGATCCTAATATCAGTTGATTAGGTTGGCCACTCATACTGTTGTATGTACTGTAGGATCCTTCTCTGAGCTTCTATGATACGACCAGTTCTTATAAGCAAAAAGAGAAGGTGCAGTCCTTTAATTAATTTTTAATTTTTTATGCACAATCTAACATTTTAACTTGAGACATATTCTATTTAGTTTATAACTCCTTGAACTGGAAAGAAAGAATCAGAAAAATGGAGCTGCAAAGGTGACAAAACAAAGATTCTTTATTTAGGATAATCATCTCTAACATTCATTTCACTATATTTGGTCTCGTTCGGGATTTTTTGGGTTTTGTAAACTACGTTGGCATCCCTGAAAATCAAAATAACTATAATTGTTGTTTGCATGTTGCAATAATTTCAGTTGATGTTGCAGCACTGTATGTACCGACTGGAATGGACACTAGTGGAAAAACTCATTTCCTTTTCTGGGTTTTTTTTACCAGCTCTTATTCTGGAAATTGACAAGGGTTTTTTGGAGGCTAGTTTCCTGTTTAAAAACCATAGGCATCGTAGGATTTACTATGGTCTGGGTTCTCAAAGAGGTAACTCTTAAAAGTAAAACGAAAACCTATTGTGGCTGATTAACAGTTTGTACTTCTACAAAAACCATAGTCTATTTGTAGTCCAGTTTCTGAGATGTCACATGGCCATGGGTGATGAGTTCTGTTCTGAATTAAAAGGACTTGGATGGCCCCTGATGGGCCGTGGTGGCTCTTGCTAGGTAAAGCGTTTCTTCTGGGGGTGGAAGGTAAGGCACAGCAAAAGCGACGGGTCCTTAATCCAAAATCTTAGTAGGACAGGAGAAATGCCAATCCGCTGCGTCGTTTTTGCCCTTTCAGGCAAATCATTTAAGCATTGGACCAGCACTTGATCCAGTCTTTTTTTTTTTTTTGGAATATCAAACCGGACACTTAGCTCAAGCCTCAGATTTAAGGGTTTGGATAAGGGGACAATGGTTGAGGGTGAACCAAGAAAAGTTTAATAAATGTTTCTTCTATGTGATGTCATGGTCCGTTGAATTTTCTCTCTTCTGCTTTGACAAAATGAATCAAATAACCATGAAATGATTCAGCCAAAGACAATGATATTGACCTTACTTGAAGAAGATGGAGCCTGTTGCTTTGCTAGGCCTAGCTATATTACAAGTTCAGAGTACAAGCAAGTAATAAAAGGAAGAAGAGTTGAGGGAATATTAAGGATGGCAGAACGATTTTCAATCAACTCTCACTTTTCTTAGCAAAATTTAACTCAAGAAATATCTATGGGTAAATTATATAGTAGGATCAAGTATATTAATTAGCATATATAACTTTGGACTCTCAAAGATAGAGGAAGGCTCCTGTATCATTAAACCTCTACTTTTTAGAGACTGGCGTTAATTTTGTGGACCGTCTGACTCTGACAGGCAAGCAATAATAATAGTGTAATACTACCTGGGAGAGATGTCAAGGGGAGTTTGAACAGGTGAGACATGAGAGAGGGGGGTTGGGCTACGTTTCTGTCACCTGGCTATTACTGCATATACAATTATTCATTCACACCAGCCGACGAGAGGCCCCACTCTCCTCCCTAAATTGTCCCTTCTCTTAGCCCTTTTTAATGGCACAATTTTGAATGCCTTACTGGATCCAATTTCACATCCTTTCACCTTTTCTGTCTGTCTCAGTTTCCACCCAAAGTGAGAAGAGAGCACATCCATCCACCATTCTCCTTTTTTTTTTTTTTTTGTTAACATCGGAGTAAAATTTTAATACAAATAAGAGAAAAAGAGGAAAATTTAATTTGAAATTAAAATTTTGATTTTTTTAAGTGTCTTTAATTATTAAGTTAAAGACTTAGGACATCCATCCACCATTCTCACATCGTAATTAAGTAGTCAATTCCTCCTCCAACAATGCTAATTCCACCCAACCAACGCAAAGGTTAAGAAATAAAGAACCCATTTTCCAAAGCAAAAAAAAAAAAAAAGTATACAACAAAGGTGACCAAATGACTTGGCGCTTTGTCAACAAATTTTCTTATTTTAACATAGCCTCCTTAAGTGAAGCAGAAAAAGTTACAACTATGTGAACGTACAAGTGATCATTTATTCATTTATTCATTTATATAATGTTCCAACCAAAATTCAATTTAACTCTTGTTCGATTTAAACAAGCAATGGAAGATTATAGAAAGATTATACTGCAATTTGCAAATGCAAGTGCAAGTTCTTGATGAGCAAAGCAAAAGCAATGGTTTGTAGTTTGAACTCGTTCAAGTCAAAGTCCATTGAGAAGCAAGAATATCAGTAACAATTTGCCATTTTGTCTTGTCCTCTGGCAGACTCATCGACTCATCTTCATTTTCCTAATGGTTAATCGGCTTTTTGTTTGTTAAAAGTTTAATTAAAAACCAAATCCCAAAACAACTCCATTATCATCCACAGGACAGTGAGCACAGCTCCAGTTTAACTTCTTTTTTTCATTATCTGATGTGATTCTTTACAACTTTCCTTGATGCCTTTCTGCAACAGCCAAAACCTTGTCTTTTCTTAAGAGCTAAAACAACTTTTTTTTTTTACTGCCAAAAAGAATGCAGTACCTAGTCTAATCAAGAAGCCAACTTCAAAATTCGCAAAAGTCTGCCTTTGCGTTAGCTGAGTGAAACAAAGAAAGAAATGGGCTGTGCCACTTCAAAGAAAGAGGAGGAAGACAATGTTGTGTCATTGTGTAAAGACAGAAAACGCCTCCTGAAATTGGCTGTGGGGCGTACATATGCTCATGCAGATGCTCAATGTAAGTATAATCAGTCTCTTTATGCAGTTGCAGCTGCCATAAGGCTATTTATAGCAAGGCATTCCTCTCCTTCTTCTCCTTTCCTCATCACATTCACAGCTACTTCCACTAATGAGGCTGGTAAAACCCCTATCACCAATCCAATGTTCCTTAAACAAAGACCAACTGAGCCCACCCATGAAACCATTCCTTGTCAGTCCTTTCATTCTTCAGTTTTTCTGCAAAATGAAAATCAAGATCGAAGACAAGAAGAAGTTCAAAGAACTCAAGAAGATAGCGATGGTTGTCTTGAATCCTCAAAAGACGAGCAAGAGAGTGAAGAGGAAGAAGATGGGGAAGTTTGTGAGCACTTTTATAGTGAAGAGGCTCCAACAGCAATGCCATCACCAGAAAAGGAGTTTGCATGGGATTTCTTTAACCCTTTTGATGGGGTGAGAGCAGAAGTGGTGAGTAGCTTTAGTGACAGTTCTGATGAGGAATTGAGAGTGGTGAGAAAGAAAGAGGGAATTCCTGACCTGGAAGAAGATGGAGAGAGAGTTATGAGTGAGACAAAGGTTGAGAACGTGAAAAATTCTGATGAGGAGAGTAAGAATACAGATTTGAGAAATAGGGATGATCATGATGCAAATGTGAGCCTTGGGGAAAAAAAATAGTTTCAGAATGGTTAATACACCCAAAAATGAGAGGGAGTTGTTGGAAGCGTTGAAGGATGTTGAGGACCATTTTCTTAGAGCTTATGATTCTGGTTTGGATGTCTGTAGAATGTTAGAGGCCAATCGAGTTCAGTTGCAATCTGGTTTGAAGGAACTTAAAGGTGGGTTATGTTGTCTTTCCCTTTTGTTTTTTTCTCTCTATATCATTTTAGGTTTCTTCAACATGCTGCGAGTTTCCATTTTATTTTCTTAGAAATATTTAGGTGTTTTTTTTATCATCAGCTATCAAATTGAATACTAAAACTAAAACGGTCCAATGTGTTGTTTTAAGGCAATAAAGTTGTTGTTGTTGCAAGTAGTCTTAGTAATTTTTCCATATACCGGGAGAGGTTGATTGATATGTTCCATCCCCTCGACCTCCACAGCGATGTATTAGTAGCACCTTTAGAAAATTTGTGCTTTCTTTTGATTTGAGGATTATATATGCTTCCGTTTCATTCAAATAATCTTACTTGTTCAATGGTCTGCACATATCAATTTTTGCCATACGTTTGCTTGTGTAATTGTTTAACATGGTGTCGTGCTGCAGAGAGCTCGAATACACTAATCAGGTCAATTACTTGGAGCCGGTCTCCATTATCCCGATCTTCGTCTTGTAAAAGCCTCCTTTCATCTAGATCCAGAAGTTCTTCTACATTGACAGAATTAAAGATTGATCATTTTGATGGTTATGGAGGAATGGATTCTGGCAGTCACTCACTGACCCTAGGAAGGTTGTATGCTTGGGAAAAGAAATTCTATGAGGAGGTGAAGGTACTCTAAACATAATTCTATTGCTGGCCAAAATGAAAACCATCTCTCCCCACATGGGCGCACGCACACACACGCTTTTTTATATGTTTTTGTTCATCTTACCTTTTTTCCTTGAACCACTTATATCTTCTTGCATTATTATCAATCGATAGTTAATGACATTGTAGCACAGCATTCTGTTGTTTAACATTTAACATTTGAAAGTAAAAATTAAGGACAGCTAAATTTTTTGGTTTAGAAAGAGATATGAAAGCGGCTAGTCTGTAAAAGCTTATAAACTGAGAAGTTGTTCATAGATAAACAATGCAAAATATTATATTGACTTTACAAATTGTTGTCCTGCCTTCGCTTTTTGCTTGCTGTAAGATCAGTTTAATCCATAAACCCCATTTCATTTCCCTTGATCATTCAATTGAAAATGTAGTCCAATGTGGTCCAAAATATTCATTATCTATGAAGAAACTGTGTATAAATTTCCAGTAAAAATGCTACACTTACACAAAAATGTTCTCCACGTTCACGTGGATAGTATGTAAATGCCTCTCACATAATGAGTCCGTTTATGTGATATGAGATGTCTGCGTTGCAAGTTTAATAAGCGAAGTAGCATAAAACTAAACATATTGTGTGGATTCCGTCTTCTTTATATGTTGAAATGTCGAATTTGCATTAAATAAAATCAGTTTGAGTGCTTGAGTACATTCAAAATTCAAGTTTTTTAAAGCATTGGCCATAGCTTCCTAAGTCCTAACATCTAATACTTCACACACCCAGGCTTCAGAACAGACCAGGAAAACTTATGAGCAAAAATGTTCTCAATTTTGAAGCCGTAATGCTAAACAAGATGGCCTCTATGCTGGGGACAAAACCATAGCTGAAGTGAAAGACTTGCATAGCAGAATCTTGGTTGCAATACGAACTGCTGAAACAATCTCTGAAAGAATACAAAAGTTGAGGGATGAAGAGTTGCAGCCACAACTTATTGAGCTGCTAGATAGGTATGATAGTAAATGACAAAAAAAATTGTCCAGATGTGTCAGATTTATCATTGTGATAATCTTCATTTCTTCTCCTTCTGCAGCCTAATGAGGAACTGGAATATAATGTCGGAATCACATGAAACCCAAAAACGAATCATGTTTGAAGTTACGTCTTTCAACTGTCCTGCTGGTGGAAAGTTCCGCAATGACTCTCACCGTCTTGCCACTCTTCAGCTTGAGGCAGAACTTCATAATTGGCGTTCTTGCTTTGTTGCATATATTTCTGAGCAAAAAGCTTACATTGAAGCTCTCGGTGGATGGCTTTCCCAGTTCATTGTCCCTGAAGTTGAATTCTTCTCCAAGAACAGGTCTTCAGCCCCAGCATTAGGAGTCAATGGACCACCATTACTGGCAACCTGTCATGAATGGTTAGCTAGCTTGAAGAAGTTGCCAAATGAGGCAGTAACTTGTGCATTGAAAAGCTTTGGGAAGGATATCCGGGCACTTTGGGTTCAACAAGGTGAGGAGCAAAAACGGAAGAGGAAGGTGGATGGACTTGCCAAAGAACTTGAGAGGAAGGTCTTGGCATTCCAGAGAACAGAGAGCAGGATTCTTGGTTCAAAACTCTCTGACCATGAATTAAAAGTAAATGTGCGGAATCGAATTGAGTATTTGGAAGAAAGAAAGAATCTGTTGGATATGTTCAGGAAAATAATAGATGCGGAGAAGGTAAAACACCATTCTAGCATGGAAGAGACACAGCAGATAACTGTGAAAGGATTTCAAACAGGATTTTATTCAGTTTTTGAATCGTTGGCTGAGTTTTCAAAGGCTTCTGTAAAAATGTATGCTGACCTTGTGACATATTGTGAAACTGCTAAGGCACCTGAAAATGAAGAGGAAAGTGAACCAAACTATGTAGAAGAAATGAGCTTGTAAGTGAACCAAACTATGTAGAAGAAATGAACTCGTATCTCTGGAGTTGAAGTGGCTGAGAAAAAGAATAGTCCTAGAAAAGAACTTGAGTATCTTTGGCGTTCTGTTCTTGCAGTTCTCACAAAGAGAGATTCATAATAAGATCAACTCCTAGGCGGCTCGCACAGGAATAATAATTATAGCAAGCTATTGTAGTTTAATTAGCTAATTGTAAGCTATTGTAGTTTAATTAGCTAATTGTAAGTATTAGTAATTGTCATAGACTGATGTTAGAGTTAAATTTCACCAAATTGTGACTGATTTTGAGATCATGATTTTGTTTAAATCATTAGAAAGGAAGATCATGATTGGTTATGTTCCTGATACAACGACATGCACCATAGGGTTTAACATCATACGGACTGGAGACTAATTGTAGGTTAATGCCCTCGAGAACTTCTTTCAAATACCTAAATAAGGAACTAAAAGGGAGGGGGTTTATTTCTATAGGCTTTCCTTTAATTTCGCCAATTCCTGATGTCCTGTAAGAATATATTAACACAATGGCGTTGCTTGAAAACATTAGTTACTTGTCCAACTGATCTCTACTTGTCTCCTCACTTATTCCTCTCAAAGTTTTTCTTATCAACACTTGTACTATTGATCTCAAAACATCTTAAGCTCGTGCTTTGAAATGAAACACTATCCATCTCAACACGAAACTTTTGAAATCCAACACCATCTAAGCTCACAAAGCTTTGAGAATAATCCTGGTCCAATGATCTACGATGTCCTTGTTCTGTTGAGCGAGGAAGCTTGCCAATTGTTCTTCGACTACTTCTCGAGGGCTGTTTGTTCATGAAGTTGTCAACTGAATAAAGTGTATCTTCTAGTTCTTGCAGACCTGAGTCATTGTAGGACGGTCTTTAGGCTTTTTCACTGCACATCTTGGACCAAGTTCTCCTATCGTCAGCGTCATTTTCATATTGCATGGTTCGGATAGCAGACCAGTGTCAAGGATTTCTTCGATGCTGCCCCTCTCTATACTGGACCTTGCCTGCGTTTTAGCAGCTTACTTTAGCACATGTTCAGTGTCTAAATTGGCAGCTTACTAACAACTGTAAGGCACAATTATAATTTGATAAATTGACTAACCCAATCAATGATATGATAATTAGGTTGATTTATAATTGAATCCACAGCTGTCCGGGCACAAACAAGTTGCAGAAGGATAACACCAAAGATATAAACATCAGTAAAAGGACTCAAATGAAAACTCGTACAATATGCAGGATCAAGCTACCCTGGTGTTCCTTTGATCTGGCTACTCACATGTGATTGATCTCCAATAGGCCCCAATTTCACAAGTCCAAATTCTGAGACCTTGGCTTCGAATCTACCTCCAATTATGATGTTGCTAGGTTTTATGTCACGGTGGATGATGCTAGGCTTAATCCCGTCATGTAAGTGAGCTATTCCTGTAAAAAAAAAAAAAATAAATAAAATTTCAGGTAACTCTGTTAACAATATTTTATACTTATTTTTTATAAGTTAAACCAATTTTTATGTGGGAAATCTACCTTTAGGTGCTCCAATAGCTATGTTTACTCTTTGCCTCCACGTCAAGTTTCATCCTCCTCTTCCTACACTCCAAAAAGTGAGCAAAACATGACCCTTTTTAACGCTTGAATTTTTCTCCGTTCTTTTTTATTGGTTTCTTGTCTCTGTGAAAGCTGTTTTTGTGACATGAAACAAGTGGGCAACTTACCCATGATATACTCAAGTAAAGAACCAAGTGGTACGTATTCATAAACCAAGATTTTTGCACCTTTTGGTCCTGTTACAAATGCAATAAGAGTTTTTCCTGTCTTAGGTTCTTAGTACTAGCTTAAACAATTGATTAATTAATCAATGACTTGAGGTGCAATTTACGTACCAGATTCTTCGCAAAAACCCACCAAACCTAAAAGATTCGGATGATTTACTGTTGAAAGAAGCCTCACTTCTGTTGCAAGAAACCAGTAAAAACAAATCAATTATCCAAATTCCATAATCTAAAATCTTTCAGCTAAACTTGAACTGTGATAAATTATATAATTATGCATGTAGAATTAAGGCGGCTTACCATTTCTAAATTCTTTAACGCTTTGGTATGACTCGGCGTGAGCTCTCTTGATTGCTAACATACCTTCAACTTCAAAGGTTCCTCTATAGACATTGCCAAATGCACCAGAACCCAACAAATAGTCTGCATAAAATTTTTGGTAGCCTTCTCCAGCTCCCCCAACTGGAAACGCCTCAACTTCAATTTCTCAGCTTCCATACTTCCTAATTGTTTTATTTCCCCAATAATAAATATTAGTTCATAAAACAAGGAACAAGCGATTTAATGGAGGAATGACTTTCCATTAAAGAATAATGATTAAGCACTTTGACATTTGAAACAAAACTGCTGATCCTGACACATTTCTAAGGCAAGAAAGGGGGTCTATGTCCAACCTTTACGGCTGCATCTTTGCTTAAGCTTTTCTTCTGCAAAAGAAGAATAAGGAGGATCCGAACAAGGCTGTTAAAATGGCAATGATAAGAAGTTCCCACATTTGCTTATGACCATGAGCATGGTCAGAAGTTTGAGAACCCTCCAGCAGATGAAATCTCTTGGCCACGTAACAAATAATTTAATTTCCGACCCCCAGAAAACAGAACTTGTTAAATCACCTCATTTCCTCCATTGGTCCATTTTCATGAAGACTTTATTTGATTTTCTTGTGCTCTGAATAAATTTCTTGACTGAAAAGAGGCAGGCAGAGGAATATAGGAAAAAAGAATGGCAGGTAAGCTAGAATTGTTTCGTAGAAGCTTGAACTCTTGCCGGCAAACCTTATTTTTGAAACAGAAGTCTACGTATAATCAGAAGTCACTCTCCATGCTTGTTATCACGGACTTAGTCTTCTTTTGAGACGGCGCATAGCCCAAATATTACATTGAAAAAAATCATGCTATTGTTGGAAAAATAATAAAGGGGCACAGAATTTCCATGCTCTTTCAGAATCTGACAAGCAATCACAATAGACAAGAAAAAGCAACAGGTCTGTGCTGTTCCTTGCATCACATGTTTGTTTTCTTCTTTATTTCAGTGCATGATTCCTGGAATAAGATACCGTCACTTATGCAAGTAAACAGGATTAATCTCCTGCTTAGGACCACATCAGTGGATTAACATGAATCCAAAATCTTGAATTGTTTAACGTTATAATTAGTTGCCAGATATGATTCAAAGGGTCCAGATAAGACTCCACAAAAAATTTATTAGGTGGGAGAAGATGGACCAAGCAAAGAATTATCATAAATATTTAATTTTGTGATTAAGATTGAAAGCAACTTTGATCAATCAATTTGATGTCCTGTTGTGATTGTTTTGATCTATTGACTTCATTTTCAATTACGTTCATTAACTTTGGAGCTTTTGTTGATTGCAATCTCGTGTTGTCCTCAGCTCCAGATTGTCTAATTCCATCGACAAGTTTAAACCCTTGCCTTATTTTTTTGGCCATTTCAGAGAACCATACCTAAAAAAATTGGATCTTTTTTGTTGATAGTTTCACACAAGAGGTCAAGCCATTGAAGGTAGGTTGGAAAGTAAAAAATACGCAGTAAATTTGAAATAATGTCTTTTTTAAAGAAGACACACTACCAATTATGTAATTACAAACTTCAATTTAATTTAAAGTTTGTCCTAGAATGATGATGCCATACCAGGTTAATCTTATATTAATTAGATTCTACAATTTTTATCAGAATGTATGTCTGGAAAATTTGATTGAAGAATATGTCTTCTTCTTGTTATTTCTGCAATTATTATGAGAAGAAATTTGATGGAGGAATGTCAGTCACCTCTGCTATAGTGTTGAAACGTTTAAAAATTAATGTAATTCGTTTGAATAATATCTTTTCTAATTCAAAAACGTTAAACAGAAAGAATATTAATTAATTTCCATTAGGTAAACATTTCATCTACCAGATTTAGACCTTTCAATTTTGGTAGACCCAGATGCACTTTCTTTTTACGATGATTTGGGATTGGCACATCCGAAGCACAACTAAATGCACGGGGTGAAATAGGTGAAAACATTTGCCAATATACGTTACTAGTATAGTTTTGCTGCTGGCGCTGTCTTTGCTTCAATTATAAAAAATGTACATCAAGACTTTAATGTTCATAATTTCTTTTGTTTAATGGCTTTGCATCCTTGTCTTTACTCCCTCACATGCTTGGTGACATCATTTTAGCCTTCTATTTCAGCTGTTTTATCAAAGTTTTTCAGATCTTCAGTTATATTATTAGTGTTACATTATTGATCTTCTGCAATTCAAATAATTCCAACAAAACAATCAAATCCATGCTTATATTGCTTGAGTCAGACCATGACGTCTTCTTAATTGGTCTCTTGATGTTGGTTGTTATTTGACAACATTAGAGGGTAGGTTTTTAGTGAAAATAAAAGCCTGACGGTTCACCGTGAGGCAAATATGTTGCAGCTGAGAATTCTGTGCTCCTTTCTGCAGGGGAGGAGCGACAAGACCAAGGAATTCATTTCCAGAGTAGCTTGGTTTGAATTTAAATAATCCTACATTAACATTGTTTTCCAAGTTCACCAACTATTTGGTTAAGTTGGGAATCTGTGCTGTTTGTTTCTGCATTTTTGACAAAAGATAACAAAGAGAATATAAAATTTAGACCTATTCCACCAGGCATATTTAACATTTTTCTGACCTCTAACCCATTTCACGCTTTAATTTCTGCCATGCAAGAGCCTAAGATTTGAAAATTTTGACCAACACCTCTTTATTTCAAGACCCTGCGGTTTCATAAATGAGACTTACAATTAGCTCTGAAAATAATTTTCAATGTCATCTAGTCTCGCATGACTGATGGTATCCGAAAAAGTCAGGATCCGATTAGATCAATTCCCACACAGTCGGCGATGACGAGCTTGTATTAACAATAAAAACAACAATCATTGAAATAAAACACGATACGATAATTTTTTATACTATTATTCTTGCCAAAATAGTAAGACACAAAGATTCTCGCCTATAAGCAGAAGCAGCAATCAGCAGATAATAAATACATTTGGATCTGAATTCTGAACCGCATCCTTTGCCTTGAATCTATTAAATGCTTTTCTATATCCAGAATTACTGCAATTAGAAAACTGGAGGTTAGGTCTCAATCCAGAATGAAACCTCTTGAGAACTGAAGTAACTACGCCCTCATCATATGAATGCACTGCCACTCGTTTTACAACACTCATTTACGGAGAGAACAAGAGTCAGCATAGCAAGATAGACAATTAGAAATTTCAGAACTGTAAATAAAAAACTTTATACAAAGGGCTAATTGAGTAAAATGCTCAATCCCGCGAGAAGACGTACATAGACTACTCAGAGAGACAGAGTAGGCAAGCATTTGACGAACAAAAACACAAGCCCCCGCCAAGTAACAACGGCATAAATAAATTATAAGGAACTCTTCTAATTGTATAATTTACAAAAATAAAATTACAGATCCCTTCTGCACAATGGACAAGAACCATGACTAAGAAGCCACTTATCTATGCAAGGCAGGTGGAACATGTGACAGCACTGCGGCAAGCTCCTAACTGTTTCTCCAAGCTGAAAGTCCTGCATAATGATAGAACTCTAATGTCAATCAAATAAGCTTCTTATGCAACTAGTTTTACTGATAATGGCGTGAAATAGAAGATACGGTATGGTTGGACCTGAAGGCAAACTGAACAGGAAACTTTCTCCCCAGAAGCATCTACATTGTTATTGTTTGTGATTATTATCTTTGGGATTTTTTCAACCAAATCTCCAGCCAATCCTTTAGCATCACCAGTGTCAAAGATGTTCTGGACCTCCTCAAATGTTGGTTCAGCAGCTCCCATCTGAGAACAGAAGCTGAAATCATAAGCAAATTGCCCTTTGATGGAAACTTCACTTTGTAGCGCAGAAACCACTATCATTTTGCAGTGCAAATTACCTGACTTTGGACCGCACTCAGCATAGCTGGACCAATTCGTTCACGAACAAGCCTCCCACTTAGAAGGCTTGCAATGACATCAATCTGCACAACTTGCAGGAAATTATGTTAGATTGCCTAGAGGATTACCATAACTTAGAAACTAGCAACCAAACCTGTAAAACCAGGGAAATAAACAAAACTGCTCACCAAGTAAAGCAAACATCCTATCCCAGATTCGTCAGATTGCCAAAGAACAAGAGAAGATTCAAAGACTTCGATTGAGAAAACTGCTCCAGATATAGCCCCAACTGCAGCCCCTCGAACGAACCCACTCTCCGTCTCTTGCCCTATCAAAGCCCCCGTCATGGCCCCCAACAAGGTGCCCACTGCAGACAAAAATGTCCATCTCTTCAGCAAAATTTGAGGAAAAAAAGCTTAACCTAAGGCATTCAAGCGTTTTACATGTTAAATTCTAAGAAACCAAACATCTCATTAATTCTAGGTGTATTTTGGAAATAAGTGTAAGACAAATTAATCTCAAACTGCTTTGTCTGCACGCAAAACATTAAATTAGATTTATCTTTTATCCATATGATAACACCGGCAAAATGATAATAATTACTGTAAAATAAATATGATAAAAAGCAAATTTAAAAAAAAAAGGATCACGTAATATAAGCTAATAACAGGAGAGAAAAACAAAAGAAGCCAAATTCAATTTATTGCAAAACCAACATCAAGGGCCATGAATAGATCAAAAATCAAATGGCTTTCAATGAAAAAAGTTATAAATTAGATCAGCAACGAGAAATCCAAAATGTTTGTAAAGAAACAATGACGCAGAACTGAGAAGAAGAGAGAAAGAAACCAACCGAATGCAAAGAAGAAAGTTAAGATGGCAGAGAAAATGTTCCCAATGACGGCAGAAACGGCAAAATTGCAAAAATCTTTAACCTTTTCAATGAAATCTCCAAACAAAGAAAATGAAGACATAGAAAAACGAGATGGGTATTCGTAATAATCCATTCTTTCCCTTTCTTTGGTTTTGATAAATGTTCAAAGAATAATTGGAATGAAGAGGTTTTGGTGATCTACAAAGTAAAAGGTTTAAGAAGAAGCTTATGTATACATATACATACATATATATATATATATAATGAGAGAGAAGAAGAGAAAGGGTATGTATGCTTAGTGCTTAAGAGATGAAAAGAGAGCAAATCAACCAACTCTCATTTAAAGCTTCAATTTCTTTGATGCAACCCTCTCTCTCTCCCTACCTGTTTTCTTTGAAACACGGACATTTCTGTCATGTGGATGAAAGAAAATCTTTCTTTCTCTCTTTATGTTTTAATTTAATATTAATATTAATATACCAAAAAATTAAATTAGTAATAATGTTCATTGTCAAAGAACACGAGAGAAGTATAGCTAAGAAGCTTCTTTTTTGGCTCTAGACCTGTAGCATGGACAGAGAGACATAGGATGGATCACCCATTTTTCAAAAACAGAGAGAATTTTCCTCAATCTTTAATTTTGGCTCAATTGATTGGCTATGTCTGACAAGTGGTACAACCGTGAACTGAACTGAACCTTTGGTTGGTTTTGGTTTTACTTTTCTTTTGGGAGCTTATTAATGAGGCTGCTCTGCTCATTCTAGACTTTTGGCGGTGAAAATAGTAGTCAACTAATTGGAACCATTGCAAATTGCAACCATAACTACTTGCTTTTCAGACATGGATCGGGTCAAACTTCAAATAACCAAATCTCTGTCCAGATTAGAAAATTTTCCTTTTTTTTTTTTTTTTCTTGGTCATTATTTTGTTCGCATCAATCTATTGTTGTCCAAATGAATTTTCTTCTTGTCTGCTGCTATTTCCCAACTAACCAACCTCTTAAATCTCTTCTTATTCTTTACTCGTTTTGCTTTTGCTTTGAATTTTCACATTGTCAACATAATTTTCCATGAAATTAAGATGATCTTTTGCCTTGGAAAGCCGCTCTTGTTCGCTTTTGGTTGAATGACTATAACATTGATTTTACACAATTTTTTCTTTGACACTTTTTTTTCTTTTGTATGTAGATATAAATTTTGGAAAGTTGAGAGTTGGGAAGAATGTAACAAATTTCAATTTCTTTTGGATAAATAAAAATCATTTAATTATATGTTAAAAAAGATCATCTAGTATTTCAAAACCAAAGTATCAATTACGTAAAAATGCATAAACAAATGAATGATACTCCTTCAAACAGAACTAATTTTCTCAAGCGGAGCTTTACTAAATCAATTGGTAAAGAAAAGGCTACAAAAATTATGGCTTCAAGTTTGTTTTGAAGAACTTGCTTAACCACATTTTTTTTTCTATTATTTCAACTTTAAAAAAAAGTACACAAATATCAAAAGAACCCAACAGCTAAAATCTTGCAAGTCTTTAAATTTAAGTTGGTGATGACATTGATGGAAAAATGATGCAACATCTAAACCGTGGTTGACCTCAGCCACCGATCATTGGAACTTCATTATACATCCTTCTAAGTTTCAATTAAGCACACTCCACGTCCAAAGTGCAATCTTTTCGTATCTCGGTTCCTTCACGTTTGAAAAGGAATATTAGGTATGGAAATGGTGTCTTAAAATTACAGCTTCTTCTCTCTTTTTCTTTTTAATGCTTGGTCTGCACATGAGTTGCTTGCATGTTAATTTTTTCTGACTTATATTGCTTACAAGTTAATCAGCTATCGATCTATTGTTAGTATTTTCTTCTTCATATTCATATTTCTCTAATACATGCTTGCTCATTTAGGTAAATTTATCAAAATACCATAATATATTAATTATTGCATGATTTACCGTCAAATTTCAATATTATTGCAGAAATTGGAGAATGGAAGTTGGGATGCTGCTATCAATCTGACAGAAAAGAGGAGATGACGCAGCTAGATATATATAATCTTTACTTGTTAATTACAAGTCAGGGAACATATACATATCCTCGTCAAAGAGATTATATACAAATCTATATTAATATGATTAGTAGTAGAAGATTTAGTCAAGTAGGCTGAAAACTCTTGCAGCCATGCAAATATATATATATATATATATATATATATGTATAGGATCATATTCTCTGAAAAATTAATCTCTTAATTTGTCAAAAAAATACAGATTTGTTGAACAATTTAGAATAATTTATGCTAATTCCCACCAATTTAATTTACTTGTTAATATCAAAAGCATGCATGCATGCATGGATGGTTCAACTTGTTTAAACTGTGGCTGGAATTTTTGGTTTGATGAAACATGAAAAGATTTACTGATGTAAGGATTCTTGGTTTTTTCTTCTTTAAGAGACTAGAAGCAAAATCTCAACCTAACCACAAATGATTTTATGTAAATTGCAGGTTGCTTTCCAATGAAAATTCAAGCGTGATTAAAAATAAAATCCTTTAATAATAGGCTTTTTCTCTCACGTTCTTATTGGTGGGTAAGCTAAACAATGACCCGCCGGCTTCAAATCTTGTGTTGCAATGCTAACTTGCCTATACTTATAATTAATTAAGCTCTTACCCAGGAAAACATTCAGAATCTGGGTTCCACTAACTTCTTGAAACTGTGGGTAGTCCAATGGACCAATGGTATTGTACCATAGTTATGACTCACCGTCCTTTAACTTTACCTTAAGCCACTTGTAAAGTTGCTTTGTCCTAGTCTTATCCTATTAGATTACTATTCTTTTACTTTTTCCTTGTATAAATAAAATGATACTTCTCTAGGAAGTAATCATAGAAAAATCAAACAAGTAATCCTCAAAGAAAAATCTCTTGTAAGAAACCTTTCTTTATAAAATATGTTTGGCTAAAAACCTCTCTTCTCTTTTGGTAATTTCATCTTCCTTTTTTCATAGTTAAATCTTTTAGCTTCATGCTTCTCTTTAAGCTATTCAAAGTTTGCAGTGATACAAGTTTATTATGCTCTGCAGTTGCCATATTATTAAGGATCTTCTGCATCAAAAATTCTTGTTAATCTGTTAAACAGATCATTGATCCCTTTCCTTCAGCCAAAGAAAAATTATATTGTCCCAAGATCATACTAATAGTAAGTTACTATAGTGAAAGACATATCTCCATAAAAGTCAGGCCCCCAGTTCGATATTAAAGCCAAAAAGGCGCCAGAGTCTTGAACACCTGCTAGAATACCTTGGTTATATGTCTCATCTATAGAACGCTTATGGTTGGTATTATCTTGTCAAGTTGGATCGATCTACACGCTGTTGTCATAGTACCAGATAGTATTGTCAGGACTCTACCACTCGGAGAGCCCGAAACTGAAGCTGTGTCAGTTGCCAGAGCCTTGATCGTACTACCTGTCGTTGTGTATAGAAATGGTATCAGAGCCTTGTCAATCTTCAAAATATTATTCTTGAAATTCAGTCAAGGATAACCACACTTGATCAAGAACTTAGATATATGGCTGAAACCAACACTGGATTCACTTATGCTTTCACTGAACGAGAGAAAGAAATGAAGAGCCTAAAAATTCAACTTGCAGACCTTCAAAATCAGTTTCGTCAGAAACAACAACAACAACAAGCAGCCTCTAGTTACAACATATTCACACCATATCATACTGGTATGCATGATACTCCTCCTCCATTTCAACCATACAATCCTCCAACCTCATTTTCAAAACTTTTTTTCACACATTTTCAGTACAACCCTCTCTCAACATCTATCCCAACATCTTCACAACCAACACAATATTTCACTCCTATCTCAGATCAACCGGAACAACCCCATTTTGGTACAACTAAAAAATGAATTCACAGATTTTGAGAAAAACAACCAATTGATCCAAAACTCAAAAGAGTAGTAGAACAACCACTTTCTCAACCTTCAAAACCAAAACCAAGCTCAAGTTTCACACCTCAAAACCTTACACCACAACAAACCAAAAACCTGTACAACTTATGATTTCTCCTACACAAACCCTTTCAGAAATACTTCACCAGATGACACAAGACAACCTTTTTCAGTTCTCTCTTAAAGATATTTTTTCATCTACCTTTAAGACTGAATCTCACATGAACACTGTCAAATCAGATGAATCAGTTAAAACAGATGATACTGATGACTCAGATGAAATGATGCTCTCTCATATTTTTATGACAGAACCAACAGTTAAAATTTTAGATGATACTCTAGAAGTCCATAACCCTGATGCAATGATGCTGAACAACACCCTCCTCATCAATACTCACATGTGCCTCCTTCAACATCCAAGTTTTCAGTTTTTACCATTGATGATGTTCTTCCTTCAAAATGGCCCTCAAGATTTCAAGAATTCTTAGCATGGGGACTCGTTGAATTAAACTCTTATCCCAATGTTACGATGAACATAGTTTTGATCAGATTTGTTTTCAAACAAATTGAAACTCTGAAAAATTTTTGAAACAACATTGGTGAATACAGACAACTCCAATTTTTTTAATGCCTAACAATCACAGAAGCTGTCTCTCAATTTATAGTAATCTTTTGTGGATAAAAAACTCACAGATTGAAAAAGCCCATGCCTTCTTTTATTAGTAGCACGTGACTTTTTTCCCTTTCAAGAGTGAGACGTTGTGCGTGCGTGTAATTTTTTTTTTTAATTTTTTAATAAAAAATTTGAAAAGAAAATAAAAGAAAGCAGAAGTACTAAGAAAAAACCTCAACACTCTTTGATTTGTAGTTTTGGTTTCAACATAACCGCATTTATATCTTGTATTAATTCAAGCAGTTGAATAGTTCATAAAAACAGATTATAAAGTTATAAATTCACTGAAATTGTTTTGCTTCACGATTCTCAATGTGCTTAGGCTCTTTTTTTTTTTTTAATTTCATGTTCTTTTAGTATTAAAATATTAGAAAGAATAGAGATGTAAAGTTAAAGAAAGTTAAATTGTAAAGTTCCAACAACCTAAGATAACAAATAGTATTGTAACAAATATATCCAAATAAACATTGAAATGTCCCAACGCCAACAGGCAACTCAGGGTGATGGGTATGTTTGGGTTTGAAAACTAATGGGCCCCATCATGTTTAACCCCATTCCTTCATATCTGAACCTTATTAGTTTATCTTAATTC